TTAAACTCCCAGCCTCTCTCACTCTCACCTCAGCTCTCACCTATGATCTGAACCTCACAGTGCCTTCTTTCTTACCCAAAAACTCACACATTGAAATCTCCCTCTACCTTACATGTCAAAAGCTCACTCCCCATAATTTCTATCCTTTTATTTCATTCTGTTGATGCATGTTTTTACACATCTGATGTTGTTTTTGCACATTACCTGTTACCTTTTTGTTGTTTTGCACACTGCCTGTTGTTGTTTTTTGCACACTGCCTGTTGTCTCTGTCTTTCTTTTATTATACAATTGCATTGTTGTTTTTTTGTACTACGTATCGTCTGAGAGCTAGCTAATTAGCATTTCGTTATACCATATACCTGTATATGAGTATAATGACAATAAACTTGAACTTGATAATAAATTGACGTTTGAAGGTGTTACTTTTAGGTGCAATTGTGTATTTTTTTCTCTTTTTACGGTAGTTAATGAGCATGTCCCTGACATTTCATATTTTGTGCTTTCTGCATAGCAAGTCTCTCTCACTTGGCAGCCCCTGCTTTCTAAACAGTCACAGCTGCAGCTGAACAAAACAAGAATGGGATGTGGCATTATGCTTGTGGCAGTTTGTTTATGCATGTTAGACTACTTTGTGTTTTGCTGTAATGGTACACCAGAGAAGTTTTATCACAAGCCATGATCACTAACCTTACTATCGTTTCCTTACTGAAAGTGTAATTGCAACAGAATTGAAAGAAAAGGCAGATTCTCTGATTTACCAAGTAGTAAGTTTATTAGTGATACATTTTGAGACCTGTTTGGAGCCAGGTGTCCTCCTTAAGGTCAACATTTCAGTTTCCATTTGTTTTGACATGGTTTTTGATGAAAAAAGGAGAGTTCCATTGGACACTGTCCTTGTCTTATGTTTTTTATGTCTTTTAGAATGTTACCCACTCAGGACGACACCGAGGCACCAAGATGCACATTCACCGTCAGCACAGCTGGTTGGGTGATATCCTGGACTGGCAGGACATTGCATCCTTTGTGCAAGAGAACATCGAGACCTTGCTCTCTGTGAGTGTTTGAGGGATGCAGAACACAGCACAGGCACTTTGCATTGTTCAGAAACCAGTAGGTCTGTAGCCTGTGTAGCCCTGATTTGGTTTGGGTACATTTTTAGAATATGCCAGTTCACTTCATGTCAGAATTGAATAAAAAAAAGATGTATCTAGAGGTTCCAAGTGGGTTAGTTTCCAATAGAATCTAGGGTATATATTAGACAAAATTAAATACCTTTTATACTGCAGGATTTTGGCCCTGACCTCTTGTAAATCATTTACTTAGGTGGGAAATCAGCTTCATGGTTTTACAGTTATTATTTTGTCATTGTATTGTTCAAATACTTTGTTTAATGTGCATTTTTATGTTTTTATAAATAATTTTAAATGTGCAACTTTCAGCTAGTATTATATGATGTTCACAGTATGCTCATGGTTTTATAAAGATGCTGATTAAATCAACCAGCAGTTCTATGTCTGCTGATTTGCTTTCCGATTACATGTTATATATTCTGTGTGGGTTATACAAGGACTGTAAGCTATGACAGACATCTACCAATCTATTTTCCAACTACTCCATCTAGTACAGGGTTATGGGAGAGTCAGAGCCCATCCTGGCAAGCAGTGGGTACAAGGCAGGATACACTAGCCCATCACAGGGCACACGCACACACATGCTCACACCAGGGCCAGTTTTCCTAGAAGCCAATCAACCTACCAGTTCTGTCAATTGTGGGAGGAAACTGGAAAACCTGGAGGTAACCTGTGCAAACACAGGGAGAACATCAAAATTCCACACAGATCACTCCCCTGTGCTTCCCACTGACATTTAATAAAATTACTCAGCCACACATGCCGTGATATGAGTTTGCATAAAACACAGAAAATCTTAAATTTGGGGTTATAATGGAATAGTTTGGACTGTTAGACAACCATGGCTTGAAGCACCAATGCTACAGATAAGTTATTTCCTTCTCTGATCCCAGAGAGCCCTTATTCTTGATCTTTTATAGGTGTCTTTAAACAGTGGGTTAGGGTAGCTACTGCTGTATTGTCAGTCATAGAGGGCTTGGCAGGCAAGAACACCGGGAAGACCCGTAGTTCTCCAGGCCAGGTGAAGGCCTCTGTATTAGATCACTGGGTTCCATTGGCTACATCTGTAAGCTGTGAGAAGGAGCGGAGTTTGTGCTTTTCAGTAAATCATGGTGCTGTTTGCATTTGCCTCTTCTGCTCAGATGCTTGCACAGTGGTGACTTCTGATGACAAGAAATGAATAGACACACAGAATCACTGTACATGCTGTTGAGAATGGTATGTGTGATGACCCGGGTCCCTCTGTGACTGCAGATCCTGGAGTCCCTGTGGATTGTGATGAGCCGCAACGTCAGCCTGCTCTTCTCCACTGCCACCACCCTCTTCACCATCCTGTTCCACAGCGGCACAGCCCTGCTCAACTTCGTACTGTCCCTGGTAGGAATCATTTGTGCCACCTCTCTTCCGCTTGCTATCCTTAAAAAAATCTTGCACGAAGAGTGTTTTTTTTCTTCTTCATTTTCCAGTCTTGTCCTTACTTTCCTCCCTGCCGAAAAAATGACCGACCCTGTTCATGCCAAGTGTGTCACACCAGTTGTTCTGTCAGGGAGACCCCTTGTCATTGAGATGGGCAGTGAACATTATCCTCAGAGCTGCACTCTGCCCCTTTGAGTGATCATGTTTTTGAACTGTCCTTCAAATCTTTGTGTGAAGTGCCATGTTAAAATATAGCAGACATGATAACTTTAACATGTTAGCTGTTAAATAGGGTTTAGGTTTTTAATGTGTCTATATTACTAATGCTGTACTACTACTAATACTATAAAGTCTTTGCCTTTATACTTTTCCTTCAAAAGAATATCACTGGGCTTTATATACAGGCGGGGCCCCACTTAATCCGTCACTGACGTGCAACCCCTGCCTGGTTTTCTGCTGTCGCGTGGCATGATGCTGTAACCAGCAGCTCTCCGTGTGTCACACTCCCTGTCCTGTTCCAGGTGATCTTCCTGACCACGCTGTTCTACCTGCTGAGCTCCAGTGGAGAGTACTACAAGCCTGTCAAGTGGGTGATCAGTCTGACTCCCCTCTCTCAGCCTGGACCCTCCTCCAACATCGTGGGCCAGTCTGTGGAGGAAGCCATCCGGTCAGTGTCCATTCTGGAACTCACGCACGCATGAGCCAATTTCAGGGCCTCCCTTGTATGACATTCTTTTTTAGAAGTTCAAGTAGGGAGCTGCGTCAGCATGCGTAGGCTGCAAAGGAACAAGTAAAGGTTTATTCCAAGCTGAAAAGAGAAGAAAGGAAACACAATGTTTCGGCTGTGGAGCCTTCTCCAAACACCCAGTTAAGGCTCCACAGCATTGTTTCTCCTTTCTTCTCTTTTCAACAATTTTATTTTTTGTTCAGCTTACCTCGTTTCTCCCAAAAAAATCGAAATAATATGTTAGCCACCCACGCAGCTTGTGCAATGTGAGATTTTATAAAGATGTATACTGGGGTGTTATACTGGCTGAGACCCTCCTGGGGGTGTTCTTTGATTTTTGGTTAGAGACCCTTTCCTATGCAGGCTCGCCACAGGAGAGATATTTCTTGTGCTGTTTCCAGTTCACTGGGAGCATCCCCTGGGCTTCGTTCCTCAGTGTGTCTCATCAGCACTGATTACAATCAACAGGATCAAGTCAGGAATCATTAGCTTAAAGTTCACCTTTAATAGGAGAAGCTTTTAATCAAGGCTAGAGCAACCGAGCACAAGTTTAATTAAAACGTTCTCCACATGATCAGCTTGCGATGTGCTTAGAGGGGAACTGCAACAGTCTTGTGGAATAATATTTTGTGTGCATGCTTCTAATGCCTATTCAGCTTTTTTCCAAGTTAATTAAATTTTTACGTATTTATTCTGAAGGATCAGCATACAATAAAAGTATGAGGCACTTGACTGCACCCTTGAGAAATTTATTGAAGAGAGTTTATTAAATGTTGTCAAGGAGCAGGGCTGAGTTGGTAGAAGAATAGGATGGTTCTTTCAGCTAGCCGCCTAGCCGCCTGACAGTCCTGATTAAGGCTGTGCTACAGGTCAGAGTGGGCTGTAATTTTTCTGTGCTGGCAAAGTTTCTCATGGGGCTGGCCTTACTTGTGTAAGATTGAGCTGTATTTATAAGAGAGGAGGCAATTTCTCTTCATAACAAAGTCCTCTTCCTTGGAATCTTGGCTACCAGTGTGGAAAGAAATCCTGTTTATTTGTAATGCTTAAAACATTTAGGACATTTGAGTTGTCATTTCTGCCAGTGGGGGATGGGTTGAATTGATAGTTTCTTTCTCCAAAAGAAGGTACGTAAATAGGGAATATATTTAGTAATTGCAGGTTTACAAACTGGATATCGCTAAGCTGTTTCCTTACTTGTGGAAGTGCACAGTAGATCTGACTTCTCACAGATCTGGCTGTTTTTGAGGTGTTTTTGTTTTATATGTCTTCTGAGGATATCAACAATGGAGAGATCACGTTGATTCTAGTTCATATACTGAGGCTTTAGTCCACTCCTTGCTTGAAATGCAAATTGACTTATTATTACTGATTGTACGTAGAGGGAGAGCTCGAGACTTCTTCAGAAGAATTATTCCCAGGGCGTTGCAGTGCCGTTTCCATTACCCTGCTGTTCGTCTTGGCCAAGCTGGATCTAACTGTTGTTCAGAGAAACATGTTTAATGTATAACGTATTCAGCTGGGATCCACATTTCATGCTGGATATGAGAACCACAGAAGAGCTGTGAGGCAACGATAAAGTCTAAGCAGATTAGGATGAGCAGCTAAGAAACAGACTGCTCTTAAAGCATGCAGATCTTTTGCAGAAACACAAATGGCAATTTGTTCTGACTTGTGATTGACATTCCACAGTTATGCACTGCAGTGAAAGAAGAGAAGGACCTCTTACAACCATTAATAATAAGAATAAACATGCTTGAGCAGTTTTCATTGTGTTTGAATTGCTCTCAAATGAACATTTCACATGTTTTTTTAGTAGAAATAGGTACAATTATGCAATTATTAATTGCTTTTTACAGCAGTGTAGAGCAGAGGTCAGTTTCACTTTCTGTCGGCACAGTGTGGAGCTGTGGATACAGTTCTGGACTCGTTCCAAATCCTAGCTGTGGTTGTCTTGACAAGGTTCAGGGTGTTCACCTGGATTGGTCCAGTAAAATATGCGGCTGTATAAATGGGTGCAAATGTTAGAATTTATCAGCCAAATAAATTCCTTAATATGGACTATAGGGCTTAAGAGGCGAGTGATAACAATCACGAACTTGTAAATAAAATAAAATGTGAGAAATCAATTCACCAATTTCTAATTCTGATTCGCAGGAACATACAGGGGGTGGACAAAGTAATACAAACACCAAGCAATATAAGAATATTCATTAATAAGGAGTTGGGCCACCCTTTGCCTTCAGAACTGCTTCATTCCTTCTTGGAGTACTGTTGTTCAAATTCTGAACTGTTTCTAGTGGGATATTAGACCATTCGTCTTTGAGTAATGAAGGAGGTGGAAATCTCTGTACTCTGTGTTCCAATATTTCCCATTAAGTCACAGAAAACATTGTGGGTTGAGGGCTTCATTTGGCTTTCTCCAGCCATTAACCTGTCCAGATGTTTAGGAAAAAGAGTGAAAGATGACTCATCAGGCGTTATTACTTTCTTTCACATTACACCAGGTTATGCATTCCTGGGCACTGACCTTAGTTACAGGTGGTTTCAGAATGGCTGCCCCACCTTAAATAACAGCTTTGTGAAGTTCACGATGTAGTTATAGTTGTGACTATGTGAGTTGTCTGGTCATTTCTGAGGCCGTTGTTTTGTGGGTAATGGCAACTTATTAAATGTTCATCTATCCCTGTAAATGAACTTCAACATGTGATCACAGCTCCTCTTTCCTGACGCTCTTTTCCCTTGTTTGCCTTGTTTGCCTTATTTCTTCATTATTTTTGACACTGTTCTCCTTGACATTAAATAATTTTGCTGTTTCTGTGACTGACTCACCTGCCATTCAGGCACCACCCATATGACCTTTTTTAAAATCTTGCAATCTTGTCTTGCTTTAGAAACTCCTATATCAATGTGTTGATTTTAATTTGTCTTTTTGTAACAGAAACATATTGGTAATTAGTATTGAAATGAATGTGAAATACGTGTATGTTCCTTTTTTCATTGTGATTTTGTAACTTCTGAAGCCTTTTTTGTTAGGTGTTTCCATTATTTTGTCCACCTTCTGTAAATGTACACTAGGCATCCTTTATCCTTCTGAATCAAGAATTATACTGTAGTCTGATGTGATGCCATGTTCCATGTGACATTAAAATAAACTCTTTGTGAGCTGCGTGGAATGACCTGTGCTATCAGAAGGGATTTGCCTTGTGGCATGATAAGTGACCAAAGAAATGAGAAACAACTGTGTGTGTGACATTCCCAAGTGCCAGGAATGTGGAATGGGAAACAGTAGATAACAATAGGAGTCTGTGCTGACAGCTTATTTTTCGGAAAATTCATTTTGATAAATTGAGACTCGCAGAAAATGTGCCACACAATATACACTGGATAAAGAGTATAAAGAGTCAGTCTGTTCTAGTTGTTTAAATTAGGAACACAAACATGCTCTGAAGCAAAAATAATAAAATACAGTTCACGCATTGCTCCAGATGGAGTCATGTTTAGGTTGACAGCCAGTTTTGCGCAGTGATCACATTATGTGTGCACTACAGGCAGGGTCCCTTGGTAGCGGACTGTGTAATAAAAATGGCGAAGAAGACAGGGGCCAGTGGGTTAACAGACAGAAGTGTAATTAAGCAGTTTTGATTTGCAGCATCTTGTTAATGAGATGGTCCCAGTGGGAGCTGGCATCAGTCATGCTCAGGCCGAATCAAGTCAGCTATTTGTTTCAAAGAAAATTGGGTGATTGTGAGGTACAAGTCATTTGCAATTGAAAAGTCAAAGTTAATGACACACATTTAAAAAATTAAAGCAGCAACCTTAAACTCCTCGTCTCTTTGCTTGTTTTTTAATCAACCCCTGCATAATCGCAGATATAACAAGAAACAAGGATAGCCTTAAAGAAGCCAATTTAGAAGTGCTCAGCATTTCTATTATCAGCTCCTTTTTTTCATTGCACCTAGGACTTCTCTCAAACTTCTTCTTCAGCTACTTTGCATTATCCAGTTTTGTGTGATTCTAAAATGCCTTGCCATCCCTAAGAAGATAGTTGCCCAGTCTATTCGCACCCTCGACCAATTTACTGGAAATACAGGAAACACTGATGATGTCGTTGCTCACTGCCTCTGTGTTTTTCTCCACTCAGAGGTGTGTTTGATGCTTCCCTGAAGATGGCAGGATTCTATGGACTCTACACGTGGCTCACACACACCATCTTTGGAATCAACATAGTCTTCATTCCCGCAGGTGAGCAACTATCAACCCAAGGTTAGAGACTTACTGTACATTTCAAGTTCGGCCATCTTTCTTGATCACAGCTCAGGTGTCAGTTTGCAGGGCATGGTCCTTGTCTAGAGTCACGCCTTTTCCTTCCACTCTTTGAACTTCAGGCAGAAGCTACATTCTGTCATGGTAGACCTGGAGCCTATCCTGGCGAGAAATGAGCGAAAGGCCGAATACAGACAGAGACAGGCACACATTCAGGGCCAGTTTTCTCAGAATCCAGTCAACTTCCACTTTGTCTTTGGACAGTGGGAGGAAACCAGAGCATCTATTGGAACATGGAGAGGACGTACAAACGCCACACAGATAACACCCCAGCTTCGGAACTGAACCAAGCGACTCAGCGCTGTGAGGCAGCAATTCTAATCACTGCCTGCCACCCTTAAAAGTGCCCAATCATAAGAAATACAGTTTACATTTTTAAAACTCATTACATAATGGACTAAAAAGAAACTTGGGAAGCTTGTTCAAGCTTGTATTTTATCAAGAATTGATTACTGTTATTCTATACTTTCTGGTGCATCAGCTAATGCATTTGACCGCAAAACTTTGATCCCAGGGTATTATTATATCTGCCTCTGGCAAGCATGTAACACCTGTCTTGGCATCTTTGCATTGGCTGCCAATCAAACACGGAATTTATGACAGGGCTCTACTGCTGACGTAAAAGGTGCTGAATGCTTTAGTTCCTAATTATTTGAGAGAATTTCTGATCTTCTACATTTCTCCAGTCAACTTGAGGTTCACACAGATTCTCATTTGTCTTGCTCTCCAAGGATTAAATTGAAATCAGTAGGTAATCGGGCCTCTGGCATCATGTCTCCATAGTCAAAGACTGATACAATATATGAGTTTTTAGTCTTGTTGAAAAAAAATCTTTGATCTTGGCATTTTTATGTTTGTTCACATTAATTTTATCTTTGTTCTTATTGCATTATGAAGAGTGCTCTATAAACAAAATGAATTATTGAAAGAAGTTTGAGACATTTATTTTAGCAACAGAGGATGCAGTCTAGTTTCCCCTTAAAATTATTAAGGAAAACATTTAATAAAACAATTATTAAGACTGATTTAAGGTGTTTTTTTTTGCCCTGAGTTGTTGTTTTTTTATTTTCTTCTGTATATTTGCTGAAGACTGCATATGCTGATGGGGTTTTGTGTTGATTTATTCTCTTTTCCTTTCTGATTCTGTCTGGTGTTTTATACTACCTTACCTCCTGTTATATTGTTTCTGTACTAGATTTTCTCTTCCAGTTTCTGCTCAGAGCTGTTTATTCAGTTGCAACATGTTCTTTCTCAGAAGCCATATTCTGCTAATGAGACATTTTTTTGCCGACAGAGGCAGTGACAGATAACGGGGGAGATAAACACTTATAAAGCACAGGACAGGATGAGTGCTACTGAGCACCAGTGGGATGAGAAAGAGAACTGAAAGGAAGGTTATCTGATGAGGAGTGTGTGAATTATTCAGCCAGCTCTCTCAGTTTGTGAAAAATGTCTGTGCTTATTCATGTGACCCTCTACAGTACAGAATACATCATATTCAAACCAGAAGAGAAGGATAGTAAATGTTCTGTAGAGCCATTCATTACAAACAAGAAAAGGTGGTATATAAAATATTTTTTGTTGAGTAGAACTGCAGAAAGAAGAACTCTAGTTTTTTTAAAGAAGACAAGACTGGCAATGTGATGAATTATAGGGATTTAAACTGAAATGATTGGAATTTCAACTGGATAAAAGTAAGTGATTCCAGGCTGGTTACAGGTTTTCTGGGGGTTCTTGGGGATTGACTTTAAACTCCCCAGTTCTGAGGAAATACATACAATGGTTAATAGTTCCTCCTCTGGGATTGAAAAGACATGTATTAGGAAGGGTGTTAACATTTTTCCACATCTATCAAACCTGGTCTAAATATTTAAAATACAGTGGCTACACCATTCTATCATGATCACTTTCTTTCAGAAAATCTGAGTACAAGTGCAAGAAGAAAGATCTTTATCATACAAATTATGTGGCCTTTCTTTCTCATAAGAGGCCCACTAATGTCCTGTTTTCATGTCTCAGGATATATTTTAAGTACTCCTATGTATGCCTCTCAGGCTATAGTAGAGTTTTACTCATGTAAGATAGAAAAATAAAAGATTTCCAAGGTACAAAATCTGGTAATAACATTAATCCAGTAAATTAACTAGTTATACAACTTGCACTTTATATCCCTGCAATGTAGAAGCATAGACTTTTAATGTAACTGAATAACTCCATATTCCTGAGGTTTAAAGCTCTATTGAGCAGTTTGCACTTGCCTGGAGCTACAAATTAATTTCACATTCCTGCAGGGGATTTTGGAAGCCTGCTAACACCTGAGTCAATCTGATTTTGACTACAATCCCATTATAGACTTATGACCATGAAACAAATAGAAACTTATTTTATGGTGAAACATATTTCAACATTCCTTTGAAATAAAGCAACCCATGAAATGAAAGAAAAATATAACACTTATTAATGCCCCTCTGTGCTCACTTGTAATTAGGCATAGTCTTTTTCAGAGCATTTTCCTTGCATAAACTTTGAGCTACAGTAAGCTTTGATTTACAGTGCAAATTTCTGCTTCACCAAAACTAAGGAATAAAACAAAAATATCAATCAAATGTTCAAATTTAGCAAAAATCAATTACCTTGCAGCTACAGGATGACCTCGCAATGCCAATTACCACAGCCGACTTTTTCTGTGCTAATTCTTTTTTCAGGTGGTTTCCAAAATGCATATTCTGTGTCTTGGCTTATACTCAATTTGGAAACATTTCCATGATGAGTATAGTGAAGGACATGTAAGGTCTGAAAGACCCCGCTTTGATATTCAGTGATATTCTGATTTAGATATCGGTGACACTGATGGATGTGCAAGGGCTTTACCTGAGTTTTTTGGATTTCAGTGCTGTCCTGCCCCTGGCCTTGGAAGGGTGTGATTTGTATTGTAGCCCTCTTGGCAGAGACATTTATGCTCAGATGGTGGCGCATTAGGTGGCATATGAATCTTTAAGCTGCAAGGACATCAGCTTTGTATGTTTGAGGGCTTTCCTGGGGCATCTCCCTCTGTTGGCCATTATTTCCTCCAATATATTTCTTCTACTTTAAAGCACAGAGAGTTGTTTGAGGCTTAACAGGGCAGATTTTCATTCAAAATATGGTAGTCTTCAGATGTATCCTCAAATCCACAGTCTGTGCTTTGGATTGGGGAAATCTGGATCTTTACACTTTGTCCTGCTGAAGATACAGCCATCTGGCATCCCCAGGAGGAGTTGTGCTGCGGAGTAACAGTCTTTTTGGTTAGGCCTGTGGCCATGAGGTGCCAGCTGCTCTGGGGACTGTGTATACCCATAGGGGCTGCAGAAGAAGAGACGATGTCCAGACCGAAGTGCCAGTCTCTGCTGGATACTAGGTATCCTGTCCACAGGTCACAGGGAAAAGCCTCTGTAAGTGAAAGGCCCAGTAATGACAGCTTGCATTCTGTGTGCCCTGACTGCCTCCCACCGTGTGTCTTGACATGTGTTCATGGTCTTCAGGAGGCTGACACTTTGATGTAATGGAAGCTTAAAAGTCCTTGAGTCCGAGAAATTTGTTTAGTGGATTTTTTTCCATTTTCACTAGAAGACCGGCAGCCTTTTTCCTCATGGAAAGTATTAATTTGATGTCAATACACTTTTTTTTATAGGTATGGAATTAACAGTAGCTAAATAGGCAGCCATCTGGCCTGTGTCCTCTATGAACACTGATGAATATTATTTACCAAGCCTTAGCAAGGGGTGTCTAGTCCTAGCAGGATATACTGATGCCCGCTCCCTGTGGTGTGTGTCCTGCAGCTCTTGCTGCCATCCTGGGGGCTGTTCCCTTCCTGGGCACGTACTGGGCAGCTCTGCCTGCAGTCCTGGACCTGTGGCTGGCACAGGGTGAGAGTGTCAAAGCTCTGCTGCTGCTCATCTGCCACCTCCTGCCAACCTACTTTGTGGACACAGCCATCTACTCTGACATCTCCGGGTAAGAGGCTCAGACTGGCGATCGGCTGACACTGGCCACTCTTATCTTACTGTGTGCATCTCTGTGTGTCCTTGTGTGCCTACTGTATACTGTATATGTCTACTGTATATGCAGTATATGAGGCTATCTGAGAGTGTGTAGGGCTTTTTTGGTGGGCATGTCTGAGTACGGGTGAGTCCCTGTTCTCTACCAAAGTTACAACTGGGTTTAGGGATTAGCTGCGTGTTTTGGAGGTGTATGTGAAGAAGAAGGATGTTCTGCCTGTCTATTTAAATAAATTTTGTTAATAGACCTAATGCATATTAAAAGACGTGAAAGAAGGGAATGGAAAGACCACATGAATTCTTATTAAGTGCACTAAGGTAAATAGCCAAAGGATATTATAAATTAAATATCGTCTATGAAGATCCTTCTAATGCAAAGTCGCTTTCCTGCATTATGCACCTCTTAGGTCTCTTAAAATCAAAGCTGTACTTGGGGAATCCATGTCATAGTCCGATAGTGACATCACTCAGGCTTGAATTCAGGATCTCTGCACCCTAGAGCTCAACCTGTTGTAGGCATGCAGGAAGTCACAGTGTAGCTCAGTGAAGATCTGAAATGAATTGAATTAGGAAGGGTCCTTTTCAGAGAGCAAGAAATCAGCAATGCAAAAAATGTCTTTTACTGCTGAGCTCTGAACACGAGCATTTCCAAGCAGTTTTTATTCCTCAGAAGTCAGAACATCCTTAGGCTCACCCTAATGATTACCATCAATGGTACATAATAAATGAGTATTTTTGACACATTCCACATAACAGGTGTTGGCCTCTCTTGTTAAGCATGCATATAACATAACCAAACATCAGATGGATCCTTTCACACATGCAGATCAAACCCTGCACTGTGCTTGGAGTGAGCATCATTACCAGGAGCCCCCGGTTAAATAAGCTTTGGAAGCCTGCGAAGATGGTTTGATTGTGTGTTTCCTGACAGAGGTGGACACCCCTACCTGACAGGCCTGGCAGTCGCAGGAGGCGCATACTACCTGGGCCTAGAGGGGGCGATCATTGGGCCGATTCTGCTGTGCATCCTGGTGGTGGCCTCTAACATCTACAGTGCCATGCTAATGAGCCCCAGCAGTGCCCAGCCCACTCCTCTGCAGCCCCACTGGCCCTCACACGTGACCAGGTGAGCGAAACTTTTAAATTAGCAATCTGAACCATGAGAGTCCTTTCAAGTGAGCGATGAAGATAAAAATGTCCCACCTGCAGGGTTTAACAATTGCCAAGTACCTGTTTATTATAATGATAATAATAATAATAATAATTCCTTAGACTTGTATAGCGCTTTTCTGGACACTCCACTCAAAGCGCTTTACAGCTAAAGGGGACTCCCCTCCACTTCCACCAATGTGCAGCCCCACCTGGATGATGCGACGGCAGCCATAGTGCGCCAGAACGCTCACCACACATCAGCTCTCAGTGGGGAGGAGAACAGAGTGATGAAGCCAGTTCATAGATGGGCATTATTAGGAGGCCATGATTGGTAAAGAAAATTGGAAATTTGGCCAGGGTACACTAGGTAACACCTCGACTCTTTTCAAGAAACACCCTGGGATTTTTTATTAACCACAGAGAGTCACAACCTAGGTTTTACATCTCATCCAAAGGACGGCGCCTGTTTACAGAATAGTGTCCCTGTGACATTAGGACCCAAACAGACCACAGGGTGAGCGTCCCCTGCTGGCCCCACTAACACCTCTTCCAGCAGCAACCTTAGTTTTTCCCAGGTCTCCCATCCAGGTACTGACAGCCCACTGAAACCTGAGTTTCAGTGGGCTGCCAGTTGTTAGCTTCTGGCTTTGTTTTACACTGGATCTCTCTTATTTACCACATTTATATTCTCTTGTAATGTGTTCCTGCTGCGCTGCTAGTAATTTAGCTTAGAAAGATTGTGCAAGTGTAACAACAGAAAATTAAGATCAGCTATAAAAGAATACACCCGGAGCAGGATTGTCAGATAAAAGCCTCCAGGGTGGCCTTGCATCTTGGTGACTGGCAGTTTGAAATCCATGACTGTGGCATGGGGTCCGAAGACAGCACTGCTGGAGTCCACGGGGTGCTAGAATTTTGTATTGTGTTGAACAGCAGGTCCCTTATCTGTGACTGGCGAGGTGCTTATCAGACTGGACAGTGCAGGTGTGAGCAGTGCCTGTCTTCCAGTTGACAGTTTTTTTTTCTTGGCCGCCTAATCGGGTTAACAGGATGAAATAAGGCAAATCAGCCGTATAATGGCCTCTCCATTCAGTTTTTTTTAAATTCTTTGGTGAATTTAGAGGACAGGCTAAAAAAAAAAACTGGTTTTGCTGAATTGTAGCCTAAATGCAGACAAACATTCAACTAATTATAATCATTTGGTTAACCTACTTAGGCAATTTAAAGAGAGTGGGCAATACCCAGTATATTATGTAGGTTTTTAAATGGCACTTGAGTGAATTATTATCTTCTTTTGAGAACATGCAACCTGCTTCCTGTTTGCAACACCACCACCCACCATCAAGTCCCACTCTGCATCTTACCCCACCTGTTTCAATTTTATTTCAAGGCAGACATGGTTTTTTTAAGAAAAATGAGCCCTAGCGCAAGTGTTAGGGATATTATAATTATCCATAACCTTATATAACATGAGTCCAAGGCATAATTAAAACCTTGGAAATCATTTTATAACCATCTCCTTTCCACAGCTTTATCCTGGAGGTCTTTTGATAGTTCTTTGTTGCCATAGTTGACTCTTTAATTTAAAATGCATCTGGCAGTGGAGGCCTCCAGGAACATGTGACTCTGTTCTGAAATGATCAGAATCGCTACAGTTGATCACAGGAGGAGGCTAATTAGCTTGTTGGTGATGTGGAAGACAATTGGTTATCCAGAGCTAATTTACAATGGCTGTTATTAAAGGGGAACTCCAATGCTCTTGTCATATTTTGGGATCAGAAAGAACCAGCATTGATGAGTGCATTTCAAACCACAATAAAAGTAAAATGTACACAGTAACTTGTAAAACCTCCAAGTTATACCACAAGGTAGACAAAATTTCCAGATATGCGCTGTGCCAAGTTCTGCAATTCAGAACGAGGCAACAAAACGTCCAGTGAATACCACTTGTTAACTTGTTAAGATCACATTGGGACATTTCTGCGGTGAAAAGCCTGCTGCACAACCTGTTTGTATTCGCTCATACATCACATGACATTAGTCATGATGGAGACTAGTGAGGCGGAAGGGCCGAATCATGCCGTAATTCGTGGGAACGTGAATGCCTTTTTGCGACAACATGGCGACTTACAGAACTTTCACAAAGTTCACAATTTTGTGCTTAATTTGAAATTTGTTAATTTTTTCAGTAACGTCAATTAATTTATTTTGTTACTGAGATGTAAGAATACCGTTCTGAGAAATTGGACCTGCAGTGCCCCTTTAAGGGGGTGTGTACACATATCTCATCCATTTTTCTAGGTTTTCATTTGTAATTTCCTTTGAATGTTTGAGCATTTGTTTCTCACTTGGAGGCTTTGTGTTACAGTGTACAAATGAAGGTAAAACCAGTTCTGATTAATTGTATCTTGATTTTAGGCTGTTACACCACAAAATGTGTACTTTGGAAAGAGTTATAGACTTTTTGTAGGCACTGTGTGTATATATTTCAGCTTGTGTGAGACCTTAAAAAGTTTATCTGAAGTTCCTGAAACCATTTAACAATTTCCTTATCTAGGAAATAATAGAAAATCTTTCAAACATTTTCGACAACCTTCAGCAAGTTATTCAACATGTATTAGTGGCTCTGAATATGGTATTTTTAAAATCTGAGTTCTGTTTATGTATTTGTTCATGAAACTGTTGAATGTGTTTAATGTTATGAATCTGTGTCAAATGTGCCTGAGAGATCAATTTAAACTAAACCCTCGCTCAAATGCAGAAGCCCTTCTAGGTGTTAAATGCTGAGTCTGCTTTGAAGTGCACTGAAGAGACAATTAATTAATAAGAATGCAGTGACGAACTTGTCTTGGGTGGGCTCTCAGTTGGAGGAGTGACAAAAGAGGCAGGAATAAGAGAATGCGATGTCCACAATTACTTGATAAAGGCAGAAGAGGAGATTGTGCCTAGAAACAGCTGGAAGGCTTCGTGTGCAGTCCTCTTTTATTGTTTTGGATTTCAGAGCATCAGTGAAAAATGACTTAAGTCTGTTAATAAACGCTGCCCAATGCACATATTTCCAGAGTCTCTAAGCTGAGAGGTCATGCGGAAGTAGTACATACAGGGAGCTCCTATGACCTGGCTTTTTATCACACTTACTGTAGGACTCACAACAGTGTAAATGTTGTGACATTTACACTTTTTACATTGTACTGAATACTCTACTACCTCTGAAGGGCTAATGCCACACTCGAAACACTTTTTCACTTTTGCAATTCTTTTTCTTCCTGTTTCAGATCCTTCATGGACAGTCCCAGCCTGCTGAAGAGGGAGACAGAGTGAGGGCAGAGTCGGTGTGACACTGGGCAAGAAATGGCTGCTCCTGATGTACTGGTTATCGTGAGCTGCCTGCTAAGGCCTCATGTGACCTGCGTGCCAAAGGGAGGCTAGCAGCCAAACACTGTTCTCTTAATTTCCTTACAGCTGCTGGCCTTTCACCGGTGTTATGTGTGACTTGGGTGGGTGACTGCTGCCCACCTTGCACAAAAACCCTTGTCCCTTCTCCCAGAGTGTGAGGGCTAGGGGAACACGCTGGTTTTTAGCACTTTAACTGCCATCTCAGCTGCAGGCAGTCATACTGTACAGTAGGTCTCAAAAAGAAACTTATTGTACTTGTTTTGCTATGAAACGCCATACGTTGGACGGTTTGTAAGACCGAATGAATCTAGCCTTCTAATGCCTTTTATCTATTATTTGCAGAGCTTAGGAACTATGTAAATATGTGCTTTTGGCATCCACGACTGGGAATGTGATTGCTGGCAAATGTTGTGATTCCTGTCTTCTTTCAAGAAGACAGGGCTGGAAACATCTGCCATCAGACCAAGTTTGTTTTTAAACTTGTGTGCAATGTCATGATTGAGTGAGGAGTGAATAATGCCATAGAATCCCCTGGTACTACATCGTGAAATACTCGCACACTCTCTCTCAAGCACACAGTGCTTGTGTTTTATAACTTAATTAAGAGCAGACCTGTGAAGAGAAGCTGTGTTGTGTGATAGCGGGTCTGTGCTCTCTGTACATTCCATATAGAGTGCACTTCAGATTCTGAAAGTTTAAACCTCTACTTTTCTTCTTTCTGAATGGTTAAAATTATTTTATTGGAAAGTGACATGATCTGTTACTCCCTACTCAGTGAATGGTCATGACGGGGTCATTTTTAGTGTGCCTTCTGTTCAGGTTTTAGGGAATAGTTCCTCTTTGGTTTGTATGGATGTGTAAAGTGTGCATTGCTGCCTGGGTTGTACATTACTGTACCCCTGAAAGAATGTTTGAGTTAATTCTTAGTGTGTACTGTCCCAAGGATCTTCATTTTTTTACACATTTAGCAGGTCTGGTTCTGTTCCATTCTGAGAATCTTTTTTTTGACACTCCAAAGCTCTCTTTTTATTAAAATTGTGTTCTGTGTTTTTCTAATTCCAGTTCATGGGGAAGAACTTTGCCTTGTAATAAGCAGTGCTGTCAAAGGCATTTTTCCTTTTTAAAGTATTTATTGGCACTACAGATCTGTGTTATGGGATTTAGTTTCACATGTTCGTGACATTTCACATTTTTTCACCAGTTTAAGAAGTACAAATTCACTGGTAAGAGTTTCTGATGTGCACTGTTGAAGTAAGAAATAGTACGTTTTCTTAAGGGTGTGTGACTTTGGTAGAGAGTATTATTGTGATAGGAGAGACTTTTGTTTTCACATTTATGTTGCACACTGTTCAGTATTATTAACCATTATTTGTAAATTCTAGTTAATTTTGGGATGCATATTGAAAGTGCATGTATCAAAGCCTTGAACAGAGAGCGTATAAGAGGCATTCAGATCAAAACATGTTTATTCTACTAGCTAAACCCCTGCAGCCCTTGCGTGTTTCACAGACTTAAGATAAGTGGTATTCCCAGACTTGTTCATGTGAAATAAGATTGTGTAGTCTAAGATTAGTGCTAATCGGGTTCTGTGAAACACCCCTTTCCTTCTGTTCTGTATTAAGTCTAAATGTACTTGCCATACACTGTAGATGACACAGACACGTTCACAGGAGGCTTTCTAAAAGACATTCTGAAATCCATGAGATTGCAATAACATTACAATGAATCCTTATGTAGCATACAACCCAGTTATGCTTTTAGGATTTTCACACAGAATATATACCATTAATAGGAGGAACCACTGTAAAT